CACATCATATTGCATTTATAGAGTTAAAATGAAATCAAAAGAATCTTCTATCTACTGACATTATTCTTGGACAATACTGTTCTGCAAGTTTAATATAAGCAGATTTATCAGCTCGTTCAAGTTTGATGCCCTTGGTTCCTTTATTCCAAAAATGAACCGTGACAGAACTATCAACTTTCTTCATCACTTCATCGGAAAAAGAACTATTGAATAGTTGACGGTGATCTCTATACGGAATTGGATAACACATTTCTGGAGGTAACACATGAAACCCGCCACATTCTTTCTTGTTGATTATTTCTGTGGCATTTTTAGTACCACAAAGTTTTTGAACAACCGACGTTACAAGTTGTGGACCGTTTCTAGTATAAATATTTCCATTGAAATCGTTAACTAATTGTTCTGAAAAAAGTGTAACAAGATGACTTTTGTCGGCACTTTCCATGTTCATAACTCCATTACACAATAAGTTATCACCATCGTGTCGACATGCAAAATTAGGTTCTAAATTATCAAAGGGCAACCTTGTGATGGTGTCTGTATCTAGGTAAGTTCCACCAAACTTCCACAGCAATACAAATCTCAAAACGTCAGAAGTATGTTCAGTAGGGTGTTTTGAATTTAAAAGTTTTCCTGATTTGACGAAATCTTCGAAAGGAGTCCCAATTGTAAATTTAGTAATATCATTGATGAAATAAATGTGAACATTCGGATATGTTAATATTGCCTGAAGTTCTGGAGTGTTTTCTATATTCTGGAGTCGTTCTTTAGAAGAATAAATAAGAAATACTTCAAAACTTGGATTAATTAAAGCAGCGGACTCAACAGCACAAGCTGTTCGTGCCTTTATAACGACGTTTGTAGTTAAATTTAATGAGTCAATGAAAAACACATTTCTTCCATTTTCTGGTTGAACGTAAGCAGTTTCAATGCTGTCAAAAGTTAAAGGACTGGTGCTGATGCTTATAATGCTCTCAAAACTTTCGTTGTTGAATGTAGCTGAACTATTAATTTGGAATTTTTTCGTATAAATTAAACACAAAAAACTTAAACTTAAAAGTAAAACTATTAACGAAAACTTTAGATGTTTTCTCATAATTTTTCTGTTTTTTAATTTTGTTAACTGTGATAATATCGAACAATTTATTTTAATTTATTTATCCCGTTCAAAACTTTTTGCACGTCTGCACTGCTACGCTTGCTCGTAAAGAATGACGATTTTCATCTCTTTCTCTTATTTTCGTAATATCTCAATGTTGCAAGACAATTTAAGCATTTCGAAGTTTTCCTAGAATCATGAATATTGCTTGCGAAAAAAGCAAGGGTTAAATCATCATAGTGCTTCTGTCGGCTAAATGGTGCTTCTTATTATTTTTTAATCGTGTGCTTTTTCTGATAATTTTATTTATCTTTAAGACTTCTTCAAGGATAAGGATTAAGGATATTTCTCTAAAATTTTAAAGTTATTATCTCTAACTGATATAAAGTTGTGAATCTTAAAATTCTTTTATAGTTTCTGAAGAAAATTGAAATAAAAAAATAAAAATAGAGATAAAACCTACTTAGCTTTATAAATATTCCCAACATGCTTTTTTAATTTGAAATTACCTTTATTAGCAATTTCAGCAGCAAGGCTGTTAACACTAACACACTTAAACAACAATCAAATCAAACAAAATCTACTGCCTCTCAACTCAGCCACTTATCATAATCATCACTTGGTTGGATCCTTCAAGGCTTCGGCCCTGGGTCCACCATCAACATGCATTCTCTTTCTTCACTTCACTTTTTTAAAAAATTGACATTTGATTATTTTTATTTTATGTTAATGTTCTGTTATTTTAAATTGTTTTTAGAAAAGATTGGGTTTTTTATGTTGATTGTTGCGCATTACTAATTGCTCGACAGCCAACTTTTTATCCCAACACCAAAATAAGAGAAAGAAAATATAAATTGA